CCCGCAGCAGCGCTGCAGGGGCAGAGCGGCCTCCGGGAGGGCGCGGGGCTCGGCCGCCATCAAACGACCCCACGCCGCTCCCCTCTTCGCAACACAACACGCAACCGCCCCTTCCCGACACCCGTCCCTCCGAGGCTCCCAGCCCTCCCCTGCGCTCAGTAACGCACTGCTAATGCTGGCGCACGTTTATTCTGCTTTACAAAATCAGAAGCCAGAGCTGAAGGTCTTGGAAGGCGGCTGCAGGCTGCAGCTATGTGGTAGCTCTAAGCCTTCTGCCAGGGGCAGCTAAAAATACCAGCGGCGTGTGTCAAATACAGATTTATGGCTCGCAGCGATACTAGCCGACTCCAGTACGTTCATACTAGACATCAGACACTTCAGTCTGCATTAACACCAACCTAATGCTTAATAATACCTGCCCTCACGCTGGCAGGGAGTGGGGAAGGAGACGAAGTACGCAAGGAAATGACAAGAAAGGTACGAGACTACAGAAGTGAAAAATCCCGTCAACACTGTCTCCATCCCTGCACCCAGGAATCTTTACTAGACACTGTTTTAAAAATATATATAGTATTTATTTAAAAGTTGCCGTCACTTTAGCCCTTAGCAGCTCTTCAAACACGCTTCCGCTATAGGCACTGTACAGATGTTTATGCACTTGCAGACACAGCTGCTCGCACTGTAAGACCGGACCATTGCTTGTCCCAGTTCCGAGGCAAGAAGGGCACAGCCCTCACCTCTGGAGAGCGGCAGTTCCATTGGGCCCACGCTCAGGAGCTGTGGAGCGGCTCTTCCCTTCACTGGTGGTAGTTTTACATATGCCAGTAGGATACGATGCAAAGTCCTCTTCAAGACAGCTGTATCTCCTTTTTTTTTTTTTTTTTTTAAACCAGTAACTGAACTCTGTTCGCAGTGTCCTCAGACGGGGAGCGAGGCCTGTAATAGCTGGCTTCGGATGTGACGAGGGTGAGGAGCCAACCACTCAGCTCCACTCGGGGACCGTGTCTCACGGTTACTGTGCTGGGTAGCAGCCCGTGGCCTATCCCGCTCAGCAGCTTCAGCGCCACGAAACACGGCCTCGGCTTCCATTCATTCAGGCCCGTTTCTGTGCTCGCTCGCTCTGTTCAAAATTAAAGTTGAGAAGGTGACTGAAGATGCCCCTGTCTCACAGTCACACAGAAGGGACATCGGGGAGCAATGGGACAATTTCATAACCTTTTCTGCCCCAGTTCTCCAACATTCTTAGTCTACAACTCAAAATCATCATTTTTCAAGGACAGGTGTTTATCAGGCATCCTCAAATCAGAGAGCAGAACACTTGCCCAAATCATACAGCACAGAAAGTCTATTATGGACCCCCAGCCTACCCATCCGGCAAGTCAAATGCTACCCTGCTTTTGTCGGAAAGCTCCCAACCTTCCCACTGGTGTATAAAGGAGGGCCTGCAGACATGCCTTCCTGGCTTGAAATACCTAACTTCTAGTCGGCATGGCTGTAAATTACAGCCCTAAACTCTGTAATGACAAAAGGTTTAATCTCGGCGTTTTATTTGCCTTCTGGGTAGTTGCCAAAATCCCAGCTCCAGAGGCCTGGGAAAGGGAAAGCAGAACAGAAAAGGAAACGCCAGAAATCATAGAATAGAATCACAGAATCATTTAGGTTGGAAAAGACCCTGAAGATCATTGAGTCCAACCGTAAAGCTAACGCTGCCAAGTTCACCACTAAACCACGTTGCCAAGCACCACATCCACCCGTCTTTTAAATACCCCCGGGGATGCTGCCTACCTTACTTTTAACAGAAAACCTCTCTCCCCTCCCCACCCTTTCCGAGTATTTCACAATGACGCACCCGAAAGTGCTGCCTCCACACTGAAATGGAAATGTCTCAGTTAAAGAAAAGGATTCTGGATGCTAATACTTGTGCTAGTCTTGAGTTGCAATAAGCTTTGCAAGTTGTAGTTTGATTTTTTAATTTCCTTCCCCACGTCAATTACCTTGACTGTCTTCTCAAGCTTACGCAGAGCTTCCTCGTATTGCTGCACCAACGGCTTTAACGAGTTGCCCTTCACCGGGTGCTTCTTTATGTCCTGGATGCCGGCATCCTTCAACATCCGCAGAAACCTACGTTCCTGCAGAACAAGACCGACACAGGAGATGAGACACCCCACCGCCTATAGCTAGAAATGAGCACGTTCTGGAACGTGCTGCCTAGTCAGGAAACAACTGAAGTTTCCAAGCACAAAGCTCAGCTGACTGGAAAAGGTGGGAAGTAGTATGAACCTTATCTTCCTTATGCCTCTCCATGCGTCCTTATCAAATGATCCCACGCCAACGACATACCTGAATTCTAAGGACCAAGCTGAAAGCGACGCCCGCTTTTCCTGCACGAGCTGTTCTTCCAACTCTGAAACCAGAAAAAGTAGCGTCAAGTCAGTTCAGCCACGTAGTCACTGCCATTATCAGCTCCAAGAGTCCGATTCTGATATTCTCCAGATTTAAGAAAGTCTGATTCTGAGTTTTTTGAGGTTAGCACAGCAGGACCAGCCCTGTGTTACAAAGGATGAACATTTCCAGGGCTCGTTCACAGCTGCTGAGCCGCTGCAGATTTCTGAACATCTAGAAACCCAATACTCGATCCTGTCCAGGACAGTATTTCTAGCTCCTGTAAAACACATCTTCTGTAATGGTGCTAGTTCTCTGTTCCAATACTGCATCACTCTGGTGATGCTACGGGTTTAATTTTGGTTAGAAAGCTATTTGCATATTAAAGTAAAAAAAAAAAAAAAATCCAAAAGCTAAACACCCTTTCAAGTGCATGTCACCTTTGCTAAATATTTCAAAGTAAACCGAGCTCAAACACCTTCCTTTTGTTCCTGGTTTCTTACCGGTGAACGTATGTCCTGATGAACTGAGGAGCATCATAGTTTATTACATAATTCACTCCTTTAACGTCAATCCCTCGTGCAGTGGCGTCTGTGCTGATTAACCTGGTTTTAAATGTATATACGGTCATTTTCAGGTAACATCTCTTGCACTACACACACAAGTGAAACACAAGTGAACACAGCACAACTCTTCTGCTAATCTCTGTTCAAACTGGGCCGCCAGCCTCTGACCTCAGAGCACGACAGCAGCATTGTAAGTCACTCCTTACTGGCACTGGCACTACAGGCTCGTCAACTACTGCTGTGCACGAGAAGTTACTGGGTGTTTCCAGGTTCTCCAAGCTCGTGACACTAAGCCAGACAGCTCCCGCCACACTGGAGCTTACAAACCTCTAAGCTACCTGAACGTTCCATAAAGGCACCGCACGCAGACAGCGAGGTGCAAAATTCCAGCAGTCAAAGATGAATTTAAACACAGGGTTTGGATGAAAAGAAAATCCAGAAACCAAATATTTACCTTCCTCTCAGAGACATTCCACAGATGCAATCCCATACAGCTACCGAAATCACAAAGCAAATCAAACACGTGGCTAGAAGTAAATCTGTGTGCCAGTCTGATTAGGGGTTTCTGTGGTAGGAAGCACCAATACTGTGTATAGCTCTAGCACCAACATCCATTTTCTTCCAAAAAGCGCCTGACCCCAAGCACAGACATTAAACTTGAGATTTTCAGAACTGTATGTGTTTTGGGCAACTCTATGAACAAGCAGCTACATTTACTGCTTGTTATAAAGTAACACGCAGAAATTCAGATTACAGCTAGGTTAGAACAGGCCAAGTTACGCGCAGGGGCAACAACTCAAAAGTCACAAGTCCAAGTCTCACACCCATTCGGTGAGTTGGTGCCTGCACGCTGTTTTACAGAGGACCCCGTTTAACTGTGTTCTTGGTTCTACCTAGCTTTTCCCACTGGAAACAGCCTACGTTGGAAGACATGCAGAAAACTCATTTGAGATGCTCACAGTTGTATTTTTCCTTGTTCAAATTCCTTCATGGTTCTTTGTCTCTCATTTGGTGGTAACCGAGAAGAAAATTCAGCCACAGTGACTCCACCAAAGGCTTGAACCAGCAGGAACAACCTGTAGGTAAACGGGATAGAAAGAGTCACTTCACCACCTCTCTCACACTACTTGAGAGATACCTACTATAGTGATCTCATTGATACATTCACCTGTGAGAAGCTTCCCTGGAGTTGGTAAAGCACAACACACGGGTAAATTTCATTGTCAGCATGAAGTGCAAGAGGAGTAAAGGCTTGGAATTCAGGTCACAAGGCACATAGCATTGCTGCAGCCGACAGGGAAGAAGTTCAGAGAGAAAAATTACTTCTTGCCATTACCTTCTCTAAAACCCCAGCAAAACCACACCCCGCAACGCTACTCCCTTTAGAACAAGTCCCAGTCACAGGCTGGGAGGGTACAACACGAGGCGGACGCAGCAGACCTGTGCTGTTCTCACGTTCTCACTTCTCCAGGCAAGTAACAACACGCACCGCCTTCTTGTCTACAGGGTGACCGGTATCTACACGCCTTGAAAGGCATGGTATGCGTAATACATTGCTGCTACTTTGTATCTCCACTCCCCATTGCTTGTAAACTTAATTCTGCATGAAGAGTTTAATTAAAAACAAACATCCTGTCTTAAAACCAAAGGAACACTAAATAACGAGAAAACAAATGCACTAAGGTAGAGCTCTCTGGATCGTAAATATTCCCAAAGCCACTTTCTCCCAGCACCTCTGTGATGCGAGGAATCATAGGGAAGAGATATTTGTTTACAGGGTAAAAACATAACTAGATACTCCAAAGTGAAACAAATCTTCAAGTATAATTTCCTCAAGAGAATTAATATCATACCGATAGCCCCTCGGGGAGTGTGTATTTCTTATTAGTATCTTGTTCAGTTTCTGTTCCATCTCCGAGTGTGTTTTTCTCAGAATAGGCAGATGTGAAGAGGCGAGGCTGGAATAAGTCCAGCTGCTGCAGTTTCTCTGGGTCCTGGGTCAGCGTGGCTGAAAACAGCAGTTTCTGTAAGGGTATCTGAGGACAGTAGGAGCTGAAATACATAGCACATGGAAACTGAGCTTTGAGGATGGGGCAAAGGAGTTCCTCCACAAGTGCCTTCAGACGATGTTATGACAGAAGCAATTAATTCTTTTTGATGCTCTTTTCCTGCTCTGGGCCTTTCCTGCAGGTTCTTTCCCACCCTTGTTTTACGGTGGAGTTCACAGACGGAACTGATCAGCGCTCTCAACCAACTGCACAACCCACATCCGTTACCCCCGCACACATCCTTGCATCAGTTACCCATGTCCTCGTTCTAGTTGCTTCCTTCCTTGCTCACTGATCTCGGTTTCTGACACATCCCTACCATGCTGTGCGAAAACAGCAGCCGCAGACAGATAATTCCAGGAGTTTTCCTTCAAATCCATTACTCAGCTTGCCAGAGGGCATTACTATAGTTCCTGTGCAAATGAATCACAGACTTGCAATATCTGTGCATTCTTCTGATGCTCCTTCAGTCTAGCTAAGGAAAGCTTGGAGAATACAATACTTAAGCTTCAGTCTAAAAGACATCCTCTAGTACCAGCTGTTCACTGCCTTCCTTTGGCAGACGTTTCTCAGAGTAAGCAAGCTTTGGGAGTGCCTGTGAGGGAGTACTGTGAAGCAGGGCAGTGGCATCTAGGTGCTGGTGTCCCTGCTACCAGTTCAAAGAAATGCATCTGGCAACTTACCTGGCTGCTGTTATAGGCCCTGGTTTGGTCCTCTGAAAAAGCACGTTGGAGCCAGAGCCATTTTCTACTTGAAATGCAGCTTTGACAATTTGGTTCAGACAGTTCTGGTGCATGTCATCAATCATACGGTCAGCTTCATCTATGATCTGAATTCACAAGGACGAAAAACACTACTTGTTAAATACTGCCTAGCATGAGGCAGCTTTTATTTTCCTTTTGTAATATTATCATTATCAAATGAAGGCAGAAGTTTCTACCCTGAAACTGAATTTTGCTTTTGTTTCAGTGACTCAGTAGCCAGCCCGACATTCAAACCACACACGTTTATCTGCACATAAATCCAATCCACGTCTCTGAACAAGAGATAAAAATCTCCATATCCTAAATAAGACTGCAACTACCTCTCTGCACAGACTCCCATGTGGCGGAAGCTCCTACAGTCTGATGATTTACCCTGACCTTGACCAATAAGGCTTTACTCTGGGTTTGTGTTTGCAAGAGGCTGAGAGAGAAGGGGAAGTGGGTGGATGCCTGGGTGTCACGAGTTGGAATAAAACATCTTGAGACTGCTGCCTGAGCAATCTGGAGTGTAGCCCAGGCCCATACAACAGTTCCAACAGAGATGTATTTATGTACCATGCAAGAACAAAGCAGGAATTACAGCTGTAACGGACCTTGCACTAAGATGGGAGACCTGTGGAGTTGACTCACCAGGAAACGAAGCTGCGTCAGGCTGAACCCCGGGGTCTGGCTAATGTGGTCTGTGAGCCGCCCTGGTGTAGCCACAATAATATCAGCCAGGCTGCAGTAGCCTGTCACTCTGAAAGAACAAGCAGCCCATCAGTAAGTTTCTCCCTACACCGTAAAGCAAGTAACAGAGATCCTTGGTCAGCAGACCTTAAGATTTTCCTACTATTCACTTAACTGAAAAATAATAAAATTCAAATATGCACTTTACTTTGGAAAGCATGCAAAGGCAGTCCTGCACACTAAACCCCCACTTCAAACAAAAAATGTCATTCTTTGTTGCTCTTAAAAAAAGCTTAGTTGCAGCAAAATCCCGTAACAATCATTTGTACCTGTGGGTATAAGGTAAACATTTGCATTCTACTCAGCTGGTGAAGAACCCCCAAAATCTAGTAAAACATAACAATCATAAAAAAGGGGTAGTAGCAGGCGCTTTGACAAAGACAGAACAACCTGCATCTAGCATATAAACCCACTATTCAATATCATTATTGCACGATGGTGTGATGCAATAGCTTATATTTTGACCTCTGCTTACTGAGATTAAAGTTTACAATCTCTATAAGCCTTATCGAAAGACCTTTTAACCTACTTTTTCTGGACAAGCATCTCCTGCTCCTTTGCAAAAGATTTCTGGCCAGTAATCAAAACGACCTTCAGACCTGTCCCGTCAGTGTAAATGTTGAACACTTTACTCACCTGCAAAGAGATGGGCTTTGTTAGCCACAATGAAATTAAAATTTAAAGGAGTACTTTCCATTATGCTAACAACATCAAACCCACCGGCAGGGTCTTCAACCTGCTCCACAGAACAGCCAAGCAAAGTACTGACTGCACCAGCTTTTCCCTTGGCCCAGTTCTGCTCAGAGAGAAGGCGAAGAGCCACATACCTGTTGTGCCAGTTCTTTGGTGGGCAGAACAACCAGAGCTCGTACTTGGCAAACTACTCGATCTAGCAGAACCTGTCAAAACAAAGGCCAAATGAGTCCCTGAAAGCAGTGGGGAGAGAAGGGGGTTCTTGTATCTAACCTAGTGAGAAGAGATGGGCTTGACATATCCTCGTGGAGTTTTATGTTTCCATTTTACTCCCCTCCATCCTCCCAGCTCCTCATGCTGTGCCTGTTGTCTGAGAAAAGGAGTGGGATGCTGAGATGAAGGGGACTCAAACAGCTCCCTGAGACGGCTCCGAGCTAAAAATCTACTGCTTTGCAGCCACAAATTCCTTGGCTTTTTGACCTACTTCTAAGTTCAGGTTTCACTTGAACAAAAGCAACCCCAGCATTTTCCCTA